CAGGGCTTTGCCCTGATTTGTCCTGCTGGTCCAGATTGGGGAGATCGCACAATATATTGATTTCTCATGTGCAATGATTCTGTTACTGTTTAATACCAACAGGGAAACTTCTCCAGTACCAAGAAAAATATGTAAGGTGCCCATAGTATGCTCTCTCTTGCAAACTGCCTACGTTCACCTCTCTCTGTTGTTGTTTAGTCGTTTAGTCGTGTCCGACTCTTCGTGACCCCATGGACCAGAGCATACCAGGCACTCCTGTCTTCCATTGCCTCCCGCAGTTTGGTCAAACTCATGATGGTAGCTTCGAGAACACTGTCCAACCATCTCATCCTCTGTCCCCTTCTCCTTGTGCCCTCCATCTTTCCCAACATCAGGGTCTTTTCCAGGGAGTCTTCTCTTCTCATGAGGTGGCCAAAGTATTGGAGCCTCAGCTTCACGATCTGTCCTTCCAGTGAGCACTCAGGGCTGATTTCCTTAAGAATGGATAGGTTTGTTCTTCTTGCAGTCCATGGGACTCTCAAGAGTCTCCTCCAGCACCATAATTCAAAAGCATCAATTCTTTGGCGATCAGCCTTCTTTATGGTCCAGCTCTCACTTCCATACATCACTACTGGGAAAACCATAGCTTTTACTATATGGACCTTTGTTGGCAAGGTGATGTCTCTACTTTTTAAGATGCTGTCTCTCACTTGCACACAAATATACAAACACACTGCATGCACCCACCCATCTCTCTCTCTCTGCCCAAGTGCATCTCAGACCACACATATGGCCACATATGCATAATTTCTGTCTCTCACACACACCTCCCCCACAGACCACACATCTGCCCCCCACATCCACACCACATGTGCATCTCTCCTCGAGTGCGTTCCTTCCTCTCTAGCATGCCTGGGCATCCACAGGAATTTTTCCAGGGAGGGAGGCAGTTTCCCCAGGGGAACGAAGGAAGACACTGAAAGGGTGGAGCAGGCTCATTTTGCACAAAAAAGAAAAATGAAGGCGGGGGGGTGGAGGGGAGGAAATGTGTCTGTATGTTTTGCCTAGTATTTCAGGTTCTAAAAATGCTTGAAACTTTTTGTTTTTGAAAACGGGAAAGCTGGGCATCTGGGAATTATGGTTCATCTTGGTTGGGGAACCAAACAATTCCTATGGGAAGCCAGTTTGGCAACCCTTGGCCTAGATTTTCTTGGGGAGGGGGAGGAAGTAATTGCAGTGGTACCTCGGGTTAAGAACCAGTTTCTTAACCTGAAACTGTTCTTAACCTGAAGCACCACTTTAGCTAATGGGACCTCCTCCTGCTGCTGCCGCGCAGAAAAATTTCTGTTCTCATCCTGAAGCAAAGTTCTTAACCCGAGGTACTATTTCTGGGTTAGCGGAGTCTGTAACCTGAAGTGTCTGTAACCCAAGGTATCACATTATTCATTAAGTAGCAATGTACTGGTGATTGACTGCAATCTCAGCATATAAGGACAGAAGATCTGCTTAGGTTTCGGAGGTTTTGCTTCTTTCCTTTACCTCCTATCCATTAAGCACAGCCAGACTCTTCTTCATACCTGGTCAGATGGCACTTCCCACCTGTCCTAGGTGCCACCCCATTCAACCAGGCTCTTGCCACCATCTTTTCTTTGCTAGGCTCTGCCCTACGAATCTCAGAATCTGAGCTTCACGGAACCTGCTGTGTGGACATGCCACCAATGGAGAGCGGCTTGAGGGTGCACAGGAAAAAGGCACCAGCGATACACAGAGTGACTGTGTGCACCAGCTTCTAAGAGCAATTTTGCATGCATCTTTATGTGTAGGTGTATGCTCAAGGTTTTTACACGCTCTCTCAGAAACACAACTTGTGGATGCAGCAAGTCCCACGTGTTTGCAAATACATGAATCCAAGAAAGCATAGTTGCCAGAAATCAGAAGAAAAAAATTACCAGTCTGGCCTGATCCTGCTGTGCCTTTTGAACAAAGTTATTCTGTATTTGAGCGAAGCATTTCAGGGTGCAGAATGAAGCATAATTGTTTGCTAACTGCTACATCTAGAGCCACTGCTAAAGGTATTGCTGGAGGTTCCACTTCAAAAATGGGCAGTCCTATCAGGGAGCCAGAATTCTGTACACTGCCCTCCTGTGTATTCACTTGTGGGCCATCTGATGTGCAGAACCTGTCCTTGGGAAGAAGCTAGAACAGCCCCTGCATATGTCCCTGGAGTCTTCCTTGCCAGCCAAAGCCTGCAGATAGGAAGAAGAACATAAAAGCAAAAGGGTGTGATCTTCTGCAAGTTGGATCACTTCTCTGTGGTTGGCTTCAACTATTCAGGGACATGTGTCTCAATCACTTGTTGATAGATTTATCGAGGAAAATTAGGTCTGCTAACAAGTTGGAGATGGATAGGCTTAAAGAATGAGGAACACCGTCCCACCCAAGCAATCAGAGGAATGGGGATGGGAGACATACCTAACAACCAGAAGAATCAGTCATCCTCTCTGAATAGCACACCTTTGCTATACTGGCTCTGATCAAGAAACGGTTGCAGCCCGATTGCTCCAAAGGTTCACAGTACCGTTAAAAGTGAAGAGTTGTGTCATTAATCCGGGAAACTGCTTTATATTGAGTCAGACTCTAAGTCCATCTAGCTCAATGGCATCTGTACTAACTTCCAGGGTTTCAGACTGAGAGTATTCCCAGCTCTGCTCGGGGATTCCAGGGATTGGACTTGAAGCATTCTACATGCAAAGCAGATGCTCTATCATTGAGCCACTTTGCCTCTTTGCGTTCTGCAACCCCTATCTCACTACTCTGGGAGAGGGAAACCACTCATTGCTCAGATCTCGAAGAACTGCCTTGTCAGAATTTTCCTGATGTTTTAAGCGCATTACCCAGCAAGACAGAAACTTGAAAAGCACACCTACACACACAGAATCCCTGACTCCAGTTTCTTTCATTCTTCCTTCTACAAGGCTTTCTCAAATACAACAATGAAAGGTGCTTTCTTGCTTGTCAGCTGTTCCTTCCCAGCAGCCTCAAAAAAGGGGACACCCATGTGGCGATATTGTTGCTGTAGGCCTTTGAACTTCCTATAGGAAAGTTACTTCCGGCTGAGATGTAATGCAGCAGTTCTGACTAGGGATGAATGAATCTTACCATTTTCAGTTTCACTTTTCCTCAATCTTAAATTCAGTTATCTACATTTCCACAGCGAAGATCCCCATGAGAATGCGCCATCCTTTTTTTAAAAAAAAAAAAATTATTCAAAATTAAAACAAGACATATTATCCAAAAACATATCATCCTTGTTTCCCCCCATTTTTCCTCCCTCCCCCTCCCCCCCCCCACAAAACCCACCTGCCCCCACCCCCCGACTTCCCTCAGTTCCAGTCTTTGGTTTCTCTAAGAATGCTGTTTTCTGCATGTTACAAAGTTGTATAGATCCTCAAACTATTTAGCTGATTATTATCAATAAAAAGTTTGTGAATGTTTATTCAAAACCTGCCAAGGAGTCCAGTTCACTTTGTTGCGTCTTCAGATACTTTGTAAAGGGGTCCCATTCATCCTTAAAGTCACAGTTATTCTTGTCCCATAGCTTATATGTCAGTTTTGCCAGTTCTGCATAGTCTGTCAATTGTTCTTGCCACGATTCTTTAGTGGGGGTTTCTTCAGTCTTCCATCCTTGTGCTACCAGAACTCTTGCGGACATTGTTGCATACATGAAGATGTTTTCCAGCTTTTTTGGCAGGTCTTTCCCTACAATCCCCAACAAAAATGCCTCAGGATTTTTCATCATCTTAGTGCAATTTTCTCTTAAAATATATATTTTCATTTGCAGTTTTGATGGATGTACATTTATGCAAGCATGTTTCTCTAATAGCTGCATTTCCCCCCCCCCCCCCATGCAAGCTTTCCTCCAGTATATGCATTTTTGTACATTTGTTTAGTTGGAAAGCTCCAATGCAAAATTCAGAATGAGACTTGCTCCAAGCAAATATGCATTGGGTTGCAGTGTGGAGCCTCTGTCGTTTTTAAAATTAATAATACAGAACCACAGGCCCATGGGTCTCACTGAAATGCACAATGGAAGCGCTCTTTTTTTGTTGTTGTTGTTCTCACAAAAATCTCACCATCATTTAGTATTTACATAGTACGTATAATATTGTGTTTTACAATACTTACAGCAGTGAATCATCAACAGGGCACTGCCTGCAGGTTTACAATCTGATTTTTAATCTAATCTATCCACATCTACTTCGAGACGGAATTGCAAAATGAAATTCCTTCGAGGAGTTTGTGATGTGTCTTATATAAACATGCTGAAGTAATGTCACTCAGGGGCAGAAGGGAAAGGGAAGAATCCAAGGCTGGTAGCTATCTGTGCCTTACTCGGAGTAGGCCCACTGAAATCAATGGGCCTAAGCACAATGGGCATTTCTTGAGGAGGACTGAAGCTGGATACAACCCCAAGGGATCAAAACAACAAAACTGAATAGATTTGTGCAAGCAGGCTGGGCAGCTTTCCCAAACCACCCACCCGAAACCCAGTGATCCTGGAAACAGTTTTACTTTACAACAAGTGAAATTTCTAGCTCTGTTTTCATAGCATGCTATGTGAGTCACTCTTCTAGCTAGTTAAAGTGGGTTTGTAATTTGTACCTTTTTAGAAATGATTTTTTAAAAAAAGAGTGAAAGAAGGGGAAATGGAAGAGGAAAACTCAAGGAGACAGGAGGGGGAATTCCAGCTCAGGGGGTCAGATGTGGCCCTCCAGGCTGATCTGTCTGGCCCTTGGAACTATCCCCAGGCCACCACCCGCTGCCTTGAGCCACACCCTTCACTGACCACTTTGCACCTACAGTGCTTTTAATTCAATGTGCCATTGAATTCTGACAGTGCCTCTTGTTTGCCTGGACAGATGGTGGAGGGAGTTGGCAAATGTGTGCAAAAACGAGCCCTCTGTACAGAGGTGAAATTTGCATCCATTGCTCCACTCACTCTATATCTCTATATATTTAGGGCCCACCTTGCTGAGGTAGCTCAGTTGGTAGAGCATGAGACTCTTAATCTCAGGGATGTGGGTTTGAGCCCCATGTTGGGCAGAGGATAACTGCATTGCAGAGAGTTGAGCTAGATGATTCTTGGAGTCCCTTCCAACTCTGCAGCTCTATGATTCCCCTTGTATCTTCATTGGGGAAGGCTGTTAAACTGCCCCCCAATGGGTCTATATTTAGGGTGTACACACACGTATATCCACACACACAGCTCAGAGCATGGTGCTGAAAACACCAAGGTCACAGGTTCGAATCCTGTATGGGACAGCTGCATATTCCTGCATTGCAGAGGGTTGGACTAGATGATTGTGATGGCCTGGGATTCAGACTCGGATGCTGAACCTGAGGGATCCCAGCCTGCACAGGATTCCCCGCCTCCAGAACCAGCTGAGCCGGGGCTGGGGCTTGAGCCTGAAGGGTCCTCACCTGTGCTGGATCCTCAGGTGCAGGCACCAGCTGAGTCTGCTCTGGCTCCTGAGGTAATGGAGGACCCATTGCCTGCAGGTGCTCCACTCTCAGTCCTGTCAGAGGAAGCTGAGGTTGCCTCTGGGTCCAGTAACCCTCCAGCCTCTCCTGAGCTGCAGAGGTTCAGGGCAGAGAGGCGGAGGGAGCTAAGTTCCCTAGTCCTGAATGGGGTAACTGTGCCCCTGAAGGACCAGGTGCGCAGCCTGGGAGTCATTTTGGACTCACAGCTGTCCATGGAGGTGCAGGTTAATTCTGTGTCCAGGGCGGCTGTCTACCAGCTCTGGTATGCAGACTGAGACCCTACCTGCCCGCAGACTGTGGGTGCATGCTCTAGTTATCTCTCGCTTGGATTACTGCAATGCGCTCTATGCGGGGCTACCTTTGAAGGTGACCCGGAAACTGCAATTAATCCAGAATGCGGCAGCTAGACTGGTGACTGGGACTGGCCGCCGGGACCACATAACACTGGTCCTGCCACCCTGCCTGAGCTCCTGACCCGCCCTGGCTCCCTGCTTGCAAGCCTGTTCCTGACTTCACCCGACTCCCTGCCGTGCACACAGCTTCCGCTACTACGGACTGCCTCCATGTTGCACCTTTGACCACGGACCAGATTTGGACCTCGCCTCTCGGGTAACCCATGGGACCAGCACAATGATCCTCATGGTCCTTTCCAACTCATATAGTCTGTGATTCTATGTTATATATGGGGGGGGGGCGCTAGGAAATCTGCCCAAGTTCCTGCTGTCTGATCAAACGTAGAAACTTGTCTATGGGAAAAGTTCCCAATGCCCCCACTGAACTCGAGAATTCGGTTCCTACCTCTTGAGCTAGAGAGCTAATTTTCAGCTCCGAACAAATCTTGTCAAACTTTTCTCTCTTAATTTATAAAGATTTTTTTTGGCGATTATCATTCACACATCGGGGGACCTTGAAAGAACATATTAACACATCAGGACAGGTTTGTGGGCAGGGATAACCCCGGTGAAATTCCTTTAGCCTTACAAGCTCGGTCCACATGGATGTCAGCAGGCTCCGAAAGAGGTGATGAATAGCCTGGCAACCAAATCGAGGCGAAGATATAATGGTTCCTTGGGAATCATACAAAGAGGTTGCCAAATCTAAACCAACTCCTTCCAGAGCTTTGTCAGCTAAATGAAATCAGGTGACAAGCAAGCATACAGTTGAGCCAACGTCAATAACCTTGCGCCGATAATGTTCCACTTAATTCCAGAAAGTGCTCCATTCTACTGTGAGCCTCCTTTCCAGAAAACGAAATTTCATCCAGTTGGTTAGATCTTCAGATGTTCTTTGAAGCTATAGGGAGAACCTTCCAGCATCAGCCTGACAACTGGAGGGTGATCAAGGGCTTGGAGCAGCTCTCATTGAGAGAAGTGGTGCTTTTTTGTTTTGTTTTTCTTAAAGGCAAGCAATGTAGAATCTTGATAGAGGTGGGAAGGTTATGCATGTTGTGGAGAACATGGGCAGGGGAAAGTTTTTCCCCTTCCTTCTCTTCTAATATTAGAATTTGGGGACATCCAATGGAGCCAAATGCTGCAACATCTAGGACAGGCAAAATAAAGCAATTCTTCACCCCACAGCATAGCTGAACTACAGAACTCACTCCCACAAGATGGCAGCTATGGTCACCAAGTTGGACGGCTTTAAAAGAGGGCTGGACAAATTCATGGATGATTAAGCTATTAATGGCTATATTTTATCTCTACTGTTGAGGGCAGGATGGCTCTGAATATCCTTTGCTGGGAGTCACAAGTGAGGAGAGCGCTGTTGCACTCAGGTCTTGATTTGAGTTTCCCATTGGGGCCAAAAACAAGCTGCTGGGCTAGATGGGCCTTTGGTCTGATCCAGCAAGGGCTCTTAGGTTCTTACCAATCATACTCTCCTCAGAGGGCTTTTTAAAGAGGATTAGAAAAACTCTTGGAGGATGAGGCTACCCACAGCTGCCAGCCATGATGGTTATGTTCAATCTCCACAGTCGGAGGCTGTATGCCTATGAACACCAGTTTTTGGGAATCTCAAGTGGGGCGAGTGCTGCTGTGTACGTGTCCTGCTGGCACACTTCCTATAGACACGTGAAGTGGTATTCAACCAAACAGTAGCACTAGCCCAAAGATTACTGCCTGTGCAATGGGATTCCCCCCATCTCCTCCCCCTGTATATCCTCCAAGCCACCCACGTATCTGCTCTGGAGGGTTGGGGAAAACCCTAGAACAGATTTAAGGGGTGCACAGAGGGAGAAGAAGAGGCAGACATTCCACTGCACACAGAGAACTCCTTTTGCCAGTGGAACGTATTCCTCACAGCTGCGTCGAGTACAACCCATTGTTGGCCACTGTGAAAACAGGTTGCTGGCTGAGGTGGGCCTCTGGCCTGATCCACCAGGGCTCTTCTTGTGTTTTTTACACGAGGGCTGGCTGGGTGAGAGTTTTGCTCCATCTGCTACAGAAAATAAAACAACAACAACAACAACAACAACAATTTATTATTTGTACCCCGTCCATCTGGCTGGGTTTCCCCAGCCACTCTGGGCAGCTTCCAACAAAGATTAAAAATACATTAAAATGTCACACATTAAAAACTTCCCTAAACAGGGCTGCCTTCAGATGTCTTCTAAAAGTCAGGTAGTTGTTTATCTCTCTGACATCTGATGGGAGGCCGTTCCACAGGGCGGGCACCACTACCGAGAAGGTCCTCTGCCTGGTTCCCTGTAACTTTGCTTCTCGCAGTGTGGAACCGCCAGAGAGGCCCTCGGCGCTGGACCTCAGCAGAACGATGGGGGTGGAGACACTCCTTCAGGTATACTGGGCCGAGGCTGTTTAGGTCTTTAAAGTTACACAGCTAGGGTCAATTTCAGTTTCTGAAACCTGTCAATTTCAGCTTGTCATTTTTCCAGTCTGAATTCCAGAGGAAAGCAATGGTGGTCAGAGAGAGAAGTGGAGCAGGGTGCTCGTATTAAGTTGCATGTGTGAATGGGAACACAGGAAGCTTCCTTGTACTGAGTCATACCATTGGTCCAACTTGCTCAGTATTGTCTGCCATGATTGGTGGGGGCTCTTCAGAGTCTCGGGCAGGGGTCTTTCTGTTTTTTTTTTTTAAAGCAATTTATTGGGTTTTACAATAAAAATAAACATAATAAACAATATAACATTTGTCTTAACATAGTTTCACATTTTCTTTGGACTTCCTCACATCCCCCGCTCCCACTTTCATCGTTATAACATTTTGTCAGCAATTTATCATCTTATTTAAATTCTTATATCTCTTCAATGTTTCATAATCTTATGGTTCTCATAAAGAGTTAAACTTTCACAGTCTTACTTGTTTTCTTAAAAACTTCTAAGTTAAGTGGTGCTCAGTTATTTAGTCTAGCATCTTATTTAGCATTCACTCAAATCACAATATTTTTGTAGATAGTTCTTAAATTTCTTCCAATCCTCCTCGATTCTCTCTTCTCCCAGGTCACGGATTCTGCCAGTCATTTCAGCCAGTTCCATGTAGTCTATCAGTTGCATCTGCCATTCTTCCAGTGTGGGTAAATCTTGAGTTTTCCAATGTTTTGCAAGAAGTATCCTTGCTGCTGTTGTTGCATACATAAAAATGTCTGGTCCTTCTTTGCCACCCCTTGGCTGACAATACCCAGAAGGAAAGCCTCTGGTTTCTTGGTAAAGGTATATTTAAATACCTTTTTCAATTCATTATAAATCATTTCCCAGAACGCCTTCACTTTAGGGCAGGTCCACCAGAGGTGGAAGAACGTTCCCTCACACTCTTTACATTTCCAACACTTGTTATCAGACAGGTGGTAAATTTTTGCAAGTTTAACTGGGGTCATATACCATCTATAAATCATTTTCATTACATTTTCTTTCAGAGCGTTACATGCAGTAAATTTCAATCCATTACTCCACAACTTTTCCCAGTCCTCAAACATAATATTATACCCAATGTCCTGTGCCCACCTTATCATAGCCGATTTAACCATTTCATCTTGTGTATTCCATTCCAACAGCAAGTTATACATCCTTGAAAGTACCTTAGTCTTTGGTTCTAACAATTCTGTTTCTAATTTCGATTTCTCCACCTGGAACCCTAGTTTCTTATCATTTTTAAAAACTTCTTTAATCTGAGCGTAATGTAACCAATCTCGCACTTTGTCTTTCATTTTCTCCAAACTCTGCAATTTCCAATTGTCTCCATCTTTTCTAGTATTTCCCAATATTTTGGCCATTTAGCCTCCATATTGGGTCTTTTTCGGGCCTTAGCTTCCAAAGGTGAAAGCCACCTTGGTGTTTTATTTTCCAGCAAGTCTTTATATTTTGTCCAGACATTATACAATGATTTTCTGACAATATGGTTCTTGAAGGCCTTATTTGCTTTAACTTTGTCATACCATAAATATGCATGCCATCCAAAAACATTATTAAACCCTTCCAAGTCCAACACATCAGTGTCTTCAAGAAGTAGCCAGTCTTTTAGCCAGCAGAACGCTGCGGCTTCATAATACAACTTTAAGTCCGGCAGGGCAAAGCCCCCTCTTTGTTTTACATCAGTTAATATCTTAAACT